ATGTATCTGGAAAAAAAATTGCAAGATTTAAACAACACTGGCTACTATCAAAAAAGGAATGTGTACGAAACACACCGACCTGGGTGTGAGACGAGAGCATGGATACCCCTCTCCTCTTCTTGTTAAAGTTGTAGCTACCAAGAGATGGTTAGCTTAGCTTAGCATAAAACTGGCACCAGGGGGAAACAGCTAATTCAGGTCACTAATTAACACGCTATATCTCTTTGGTCAAATCAAAAATGAAAGTGTAAAAGACACATTGCGGTTTTATGTGAAGGTTTAATGTGCAGGACTACTATCTCGGTCAGGAGCAGTGACTTCGTGGAGTCACCGCCAGTTGTCTGGCAACCTCCAATGACAACAAGACTCCGGGTTTTTGTGTGGACTAAACAGAAAAAATATAACATTATATAGGTTAATATATGTTAATTAGCACTTGTGAACTCCTGATTGGATTGTGTTACCATTGGACGGAGCCAGGCTAGTTGTTGCCCCCTGCTTTCAGTCTTTGTGCTAAGTTAACTAATATCAATCTTCTCATCTAACTCTTAGCAAGAAAGCGAATAAGTGTATTTCCCAAAATGTCAAACTATTCGTTTAGCATGGAAAAGTATTAAATAAATGTCTATTCACAGCAGCTCCCATAGGCCTGGGAAAGTGAGTAGTACTTCACCTAAATATCACATTCATTAGTAAAGCCATCAGGAATTTTGAATGCTATGATGTGGCGCATGCATAATAGCCTATTAGTGTTAAACACAAACCTGTGGGAACTATAAAAGTGTTAACCTGTGTAGGAACTCATTCAGGAATGTTTTAGTTACTAAATGAAGTAGTTTCACATTTCCACAATGCTAATGACGAGGCTAATTCTCTCCATTTCCATCTCATCAGTCCACAGTATCACTCATCAATGAGTTTGTGCAAATTGCAGTGTGTTGGAGCACAAGTGGTGCAGCCCAACGAACAGCATTCATCCTCCGAAGAGTCACTCTCGTCCTCCCTTCCTCCCCCTTTCTCTCCCCCTCTTTCCACTCTCATATTGTGTCTCTAACGAGTCACGTCCATCTAGCAATTATTATGAAATTAAAGCTATTTTCCGTGGCCGATGTTTGCCCCGGTAATAACCACATCGAGATAGGATTCATTCATTTAGCATTTTAGTTCAGCTCAATTCCTGTCGCATTAGCAAGAGGAGCAAAATCAGAGTGTCACTCAGATATTCTGCTTAATGGTTTGGCGATGGCCTGGCCTTTTTTCTCTTTCTCCTTTCGCGATCCTCCTAACCCTATCTCCCTGCCAATTACGCTGTTTAATCTATATGTAGATAATGGTGTCCAGGACCTCCCTGTTGAAATGTCAGGTGTGAAGAGGTTATTAGCTAACTTTTAATTACTGTCCATCATTCACCAGCCAGCAGGACAGATTGGCCCTCTCCGACTGTCCGCTTATCTAGTCTCTGAATGTTGGCTGCAGGCAGGGAAAAGAAAGGTGTTTAGGACGCACCAGGTCTGTGACTTAATATCACCATTTTCACAGTATTAACAGGATTTAGCGTGTGGAAGAAAGACACGGAAGAATTGAGGATGGTGTGACCAGGTAGATCATGTGTCAGAAAGTTTAATGGGAACAGATCAAGTGTCAAATAGTTTAATGAAAGATGATTTCAAAGTTTAGAAGCAGATGAGAGGAGGACATGAAGAAATAATCCGCAAAGAAGAAAGTGTTTTGGGGACAGCTCTGCAGAAAACTCAATGCATTTTTTTTTCATAAAATACTTGAACCACATTATGTTCTGTGGTTCTACCGACATTGAGTTCTTGGATGTTTTGATGATTTAAAGAACCTGCAGGCTGGTTAATACAGAGATTGCCCTGTTTGCAGAGATTAGCTGGATTTTCCTCTTCTTTGAATGTTTTAAAAGTCTGCAAACCATTTTTCGTGAACTCCCCCTGCCCTTGCGTTAAAGCCTCTATTGTACATTTAAAGACCTGCAGCCCCTGACCCAAACTCTGCTGCTCCCCATTTCCATTCCTGCTCTCTAATACTTGTATTGGGGCCCAAAATAATATGAGCGCCGGCCATGAGCTCTGAGGTCTGTCTATATCTGCTACGTAGCAGATTACAAGGGGTAACTTTATGATACTAGAATAAATGTGCAGCTGTCGAAAATAAGAAAACTACAGATTACATTTTTCTTGGCTGTAAATTTGTATTTTTTTAACTGTATCATTAAAGACTAATGAACTGAAAGTGTTTGCATTATTATGCTGCAAGTTTCTTCATATGTCCTGCTGGTGTCTACAAGAGATGACTTACAACTTGCAGGTTTTGTGAAATGCAACAATGAGACAGATCTATATACAGTTACTTCAGTGGAGTTTGTAATGGAGCTTGCAGTTCACATTTTGCAAGGAGGTGTATGATTCACTGTGGTTTGTGGGCATTTGCAAACATATATGGAAAGCGTGGACTGTTTAAGCTTGTACAATCAACATCAATGAATGTGGAGCAGGCTTAAATCAGACAAACATCCTAAAAATAGAAATAGCCTCAACCTTAGATTCCAGATCCTTCATTCAAACTACAAGCAGAGACACACACACACAAAAGCACACATACCTGCAGGGAGAACAATCTCTATTCAGCCCTTGAACTGTCTTTGAGAGGATTTACTATTTTCAGGGCCGAGTGCTGCTGATTACAGCGCCACGGAGAGAAATACTTCCCAAACTCACTTTTTCTTCTTCTCCCTCGCCATCTTTTACAGCTTACAGACAAATTCCGTTGGAGGCAGTGAGCTGTTATTTCAGCAGACATCCTCCCTGTGATGGAGGCTCTGGTTACAGAGAGCTGCCTCTGGTTCACACACATAAACACAGACACACATACGCACCGTGCACAGACATTCCTAGTTCTTATTTTAGGAGAGTAAAACAGAAATACACAGTCGGTAAAATCTCCACAAAATCTGAATCGATGAAATAATTGTTGAACTATTTCTTGCTTTCTGTTTCTTCTCCACCTTCTCTTTCTCTTTCTCTTTCTTTTTCTTTTGTCTCTCTCTCTCTCTCTCTCTCTCTCTCTCTCTCTCTCTCTCTCTCTCT